TTTCCTGGACCAGGTTGCCCACAAGTTGCCCTTCCCAGCAAAGGCCGTGAGCCGTGAGACTCTTGAGAAGATGCGGAAAGATCAGGAGGAACGGGAACAGAACAACCAAAACCCCTGGACCTTTGAGCGCATAGCCACTGCCAACATGCTTGGGATACGGAAAGTCCTGAGCCCGTATGACTTGACCCAGAAGGGGCGGTACTGGGGCAAGTTCTATATGCCTGAACGTGTGTAGTGAGAATGGGAGACATAAATGTACAAAGGCTACCAAGAGAAAGAATCTACATTTTGATTCCCCTCAGCTTACCCTTACAGTCTTTGGGTGGCTCTGAGATCTAACCGAGGAACAGTATATGAGTAAATGATTTCTGAAAAATTATAGAATATCTGTTGATTTTTTTTAAGTGCATTATATTTATATCAAATAAAGTTTGAGTATCACCTCAGGATATAACTTTTCATTGGTCATTCTTAATCCTTAAATGATTATGAAGCTGGCTTCACTGACTGTTAGGGGTCCAGTTCTCCCCAGCTGTAAGATGAATGTCTTCAGGGCTGAAACAAATGCTTCCATCTCCCACCTCTGGTGTAAGTTGGATTTAATATCTGCACGGCTTTCCCTGCTGTCAAAGTCTGCTTCACATTGCTTCACTTTTACCAAAGAGCTACATCAGTACCTGTTTTTCTCAAACTGAAAGAAATCTGAAGAAGATTTTCACTTTTACAAAATGGTAGTTTTTCACTGTACATCATTTCAGTTTAGGAACGCTCTACTTTTGGACAGTGGGAGAATTCTGTACTACCTTTTATAGTACAGGAGCTAGTTGCTATCTTTAATAGTTACAAACGTTTTTGGAAAGCAAAAAAACAGCAGTACATACATTAATTGATTGAACAGATATTTATTTATGTCCAGCTACCCATCTCTCAATCTTGGAAGTCAAAGGGGGATGTTGGACAATACGGTAAGGAACATACCATTGCCTTTTAACACAAGGAACTTTGATAAAGGTTGTTGTCTGGCCTTTCCTAGGTCTGAAATTCTCTGAGGAGGGTGAGTATTTGGCTCTACCTTTGCTTCCCTGCAGGTTCTAGGACGGTGCAGTGTGCCACACAGCACTCAACTAGTTACTGTTGGATGAATAAAGGCCCCATGTGTTTCAGATCCCCATGGTTCCACCTTCCTGTCTGTCTTTAACAAGATTCATCTCTTCCAGAGCTAGCCAGCAGTTTTCTATCCCCTCTAAAACTGAAAGAAATACAAATGGATAAAAATAGTAAACCATTTGCTTTTGAAAGTGGGTAGAAAACTGCAGCACACTGACTTGAAATACCAGTTTTTTTTTTAATCCCACTTTTGGCTAAGGTCAAATATAGTTACCTGTTCTTACCAGTTTAATCCCACTTTCTTAAAAAGTCCCACAAAGAAAGTAATCTACTTTCAAAAGTACAAATATATCTAAACAGTTACATGGTCCTCAAGAGTTGTACATGGTGGTTCTTAATGTATTTTTAGTGAAGCTCTTCTAATATAATTACTAGATTGCATTAGAACACATCTGAACCTTGAATTGGGGCCATTGTTTCGGACAGTTTTATACACACATTGCTGGCCAACAAAATCAGTTTCAGCACCACGAACCATCTAAGAAACGACGGGAGTGGTAGCCACCTGTCACCTCTCTGACTTGACCTCTCATCTCTGTTACGGTTCATGAGTATGGTGCTGATGACTGTTGGGAGTTCATTTGTGGTATAAACCTGTTTCTTTTGTTTGGGACCCACACTGAGTTACTGAACCCCAATCCTGGGGCCATCCAATCTTTGCAGAGTGAGAGACTGTCAACTCCATCACCACCCATAAAAAAGGACCTTATATGTCACAGTAAAGGGAGGCCTGTCCTACTTTTGCATAAGTGAATCAGCCCCTTCCCAGGTATTTGCACACAGCCTCTGATACTAACAAACCCATTTACCACTGATGCCTTAAAAGGTTTGGGAGTAAAACCCAGGGACTCAACCGTTAGCAGAAATCAGAGCTTAATTACAGGTAATTGATACTGTTGAACATCTTTGATACTGATACTTGAACATCTGTAAGTGGCAGGCACTGTGCTAAGCATTGGGGACGCTGCTGTGAGCAAGACCTGCATGGCGCCTATGGTTAGATCATCTTCACTTCAGACTATTAGACCCTGAAGAAGGAAGTAGATGGAGGACTGTTCAAAGGTGAGACCTAGAAGAACCTGAAGAGCAGACGTAACAAGGGCCTGGTGTTGATCAAAGAGAAAATGAAGTGCTGATGAGCTGGGTGTGCTCCAATACCTGCCTGGCTCTGTTTTATTTCCTGGACAGGCACGTATTCTCCAGCCCACAGCCCTCCTGGACACCCATCTTCCTAACCAGCCTCATGTTGCTGTGCAAACTGTTCCTTCAGTCCTGCCCCCACCCAATTCTGCACTGTCCTAAGTCTACCTTTGCATAACTTTCAACGGGTGGTTGTTGGACACCCTGTGTCATAGGTTTCATAATGGAAAGAGGAGTAGCTGTTGAGGAATCTGCAGTGGAGAAGTGATGGCACCACAGAAGTGAAAGAAGGATGAAAAATGCCGACCGAGGCTCCGTTGGGGAGGACTGCAGGAGAGAACGGAGGGGGAAGAAAATCACAGGTTATACAACAGGATGTCCGAAGCCAGGATCACCAAGTCCTTCCCCTGCAGTGGCAAAGAGTCTACTCAGCAAGTCTGCACTAACTAGTCTGAACCCTCAAAGAGAGGAAATTAATTTACTCTGGATTTACTGGCTGGCTCTCTCCTTCTAAGGAGTTCGGGGTGCTTCCAATGCAAGAACTAATTCTTTCTCCTTTAGCCATTCCCAGACAACACTGCCCAGATTTTGCTGCAGGAAATCAACATCCTTCTACAAAGCATTCTAAACAGAGCATTCTGCTACCAGCCCTGGTTATGGAACAGACTGCCACCTGCCTCCCCATCTACTGCCAACTCATTATTAACACATTTTTCTCTCTATGAAAACTTTTCCTTAGTTCTCTCCAGCCTTTATCTATTCTACCACCTAATCCCACCCAAATCTGGGGAACCCAGCTACAAACAACAAATGCCCTCAGGACATAAACGTAAGTGAAAGTACCTCCCACCCTCCCCACAGCTGGCTCACCTTTTTCAGGCAAATATGCCCCCAATGGTAGAAGCTAAGATGATCGCAAGGATAATACAGCAGATCATGATCATGATCTTCTTCTGCTCATCCAGACAAGGAAAGAAAAAGCATGTGAGAAGCAGCGTCACTGTGCAGAGTTGCAAGGGAAGGAAGACAAACGTGGATCCAGACATGGAGGAAGATGTGAAGGGAAAGGGAGATGGATCTGGCTTCTAGAACCCAGGATGTGAATAGAAGCATTGCTTTTAGGCAAGAGATTCAAAATTAGATCAACAGCAATCTCTAAGGGTGTTTAGTATGTTGTTCTGCCTTCTGGATCCTATCACATGAGAGTTATCCCCTTTCTCTCCTAGAGCCAGATACCCACGACAAGTGAACCAAATTCCTGGTGGGAGTACCTTAAACCTGAAAGTCAAATGTAGTTCAATGTATTCTTTGAGAGTTAAACCATTTTCAAAAATTAGAACTTTTGATCCATCTGGTCTGGCACATGGTTAAAAAGGATTTTAACCCTTTTTCCAAAACCTAAACAAAAACCACCACATGGTGGCACCCAACCACTATTTTGCAGGGAAATAGAGCCAGAACTGTTTCACAATCAATATAAAGTAATTTATTTTTAAATTATCAATAAAATAATCAAGTTTACATTTAAAAAATACAAATGACAAAAAAAAACCTTCATTTGTATTCCAAACTAAGCCCCAGGGCTCAACAAAGCCCTGTGATTAGAGCTTGTCTTCCCTTGTTGCTGGAGCCTGTCCACTGTCCCGACTTCATAGCCATGGGTAAGAGGCTCTGTCTGAGTGCTGAGCAATGATGGAGTACATAGCCTTTGCAAAGGAAGCCAAGGGGTAGTCCCTGGACTAGGTGCTCACCCTGTCCTAGAAAGTTAAAGCTAAACTATATATCAGGGAGACTGGCAGAGAATCTAAGGGGCTCACCACTGGGTCAGCATAGTCACTACACTTGAAATTATTTCCTGGCTGTTGCTTCCTCCATGACAAGAACTGGGGGAGACAAAGAACCTGTCAAGCTCATTAACCTGGTAGCAATACCGGCTACTCAGTAGTCCCCGGTCTCCCCCAGCTGACTCAGCCCTGGAGACAGGATCATCCTAAAGACCTCAGGAATGATCTCAAATTGCTGTGGGATGTTCTCAGGACAAGCCTCACTTATGCAGCAGTGGGGAGAGGTGCCAAAACTTGTCATACCTTCTGTCTGCTAAGCAGAAAAACTTAAGGGGGTCAACTTAGTCCTCACCCCAAAGATCTATGATTGTCCCAGTACTCACCAGAAAACAAGGTTTCTCGATGACACCAGATCATAGTTCTACTATGATTCATTTGCAGATAAGCAAATGTCTCTTACCTAATTTTCCGCCCAGTTCAAGGGGTTTGTTTGTTTGTTTTGAGGTTATAATATTCTCCATTTCTAGTTTCCTACTTCCTGAGAGACATGGGCAAATATATACATATATTTGTCTCACACACGATTATAAAAATACATCTGGAATATATGAAATGAGTGACTGAACACTCGCACCAATCTGAGCATTTCCAGAGCCTGAGACTCAAGCACCTTGTCCCTGGCCCAATTTTAAGTGCCTGGTTATTTATCACCTCAAGGCAATGGCTTCACAAAGCATCATTCCAATGGAGAACAGCCAGTTTCCAAGAGTCAAAGAGGGAAACCAATATCTCATACCCTCAGCCTTTACAAATGGTAACCTAGGACAACCATATCATGCTGGTGCCTCCTTGAGTAAACATGAGAGAATACAACATAAAGATTGAAGTTGGCCCCCAAGCTGAACAAACTAAGAGCTTAATTTAAAATTGAACTTCAAACAAGTCAGCTTCTAAGACCAAAATGACATCTGCCAGTTCCACATACTTTCAAGACATAGGGACAACAAACTGTGAGGACCAAGACCCTGCCAAGTGGAAGGCTCAAGCCAAGCCTTATTGTTGCCACACTTAGAAGAATCCCTTTGTGTTGTTAACGATAACCCCCTACAAAATACACTGCAATTTCTGGGAGGAGAACACTCCATGAGGTAGAAAATACAGCACCTTGGGAAGGTTTGGAATGGGCTTTCCAAGGTGCAAGGCATAATTTGACACATTCAGAGGGAATAAAGAGAAGCTGGGTTGGTTCTTACTGTCTGGGAGAGAAGGCACTTCAGAGTTGGTGGGGCAGGAGAAGGTTTTGAGGAGAACTCAGGGCTGCATCAGGTAGATTAGCTTCCGCTGGGGCTAAATTGTTTGCTGGGTCAGGTCCAAGGACAGTTACAAGGAAACAAAGGAACAGGTCGCACTCTCTCTCAGGAAGTCCATTCAAACTCTGTTCCCATCTGAAGACAAGGGTGGCCACACCAGGCTGGAGTGAAATCAGGTTCTAGGAGAGGCAGGGGAAGGAGGAGCTGATCAGTACACGGGATGGAAGTGGGGAGCAACATTAACACTCAGGCACAAACCTAGAAGGTGGAGACGGAAGATCAGACATCACTGCAAAAAGGAGAGCAATAGAGAAGTCAATAGTAAACCTGAGAAATCCTGTAGACAAACCCAAGACAGGGCCCAGAATTAAATATCCTGTCGTGAAAGAAACAAAAAGCCATATTAAAAATAAATCCCTGGGCTTTTTATAATCCTTCACACAGGCTGTCACATTCCCGTGGAAGGACCTGCCAGGGGGTGGCACAGTCGATCCACAAAAGGTACCCGTTCTCTCTACGAGGACCTCATCAGCACTTTTCAAATACAAGTTCCAGAATTTGAATCTTCTCTGTTACTCCCCTACTCCGCACTTCTCTTACACGGTGAAAAGAATAAAGAAAAGCTCAGGGGTCATCATGGCTGCTCCATCTTAAGTGCTGGGTAGGCTTGGGCAAGTTTATTAACTTCACTGTGCTTCAGAAGAGTTTCCAATCTGAAAATGCGGACAATGTTACTATCCTAGAACAGTACCTGGCACACAACTGGGGAGTCAAAGGAAGGCTGTCTTCCCTCCCTCCTGTTCAGAGACCTCTGGCCCTCAGGCCACAGTGGGGGGTGGGGTGGTCCAGACCTAAAAGCAGCAGCCAGTCCCGACTTTATGAAACACACTACAGTAAACAGCCCAACACTGCTCAGCGACGACACAGCATTTTGGAGATCAGGTAAGTCAACTAAAAACAATACATTAATTAGTCTCCTCATTAAAAAAAGGAATTCATTTACATTCTCAAGAAGAAGTTGATGTTTAGTGCTATAAATATCTGACTTAGAGACCCTCTGGTCACATGGGAGGAGGAAGAAGGAAGAAGAGGCACACGGAAGCAAAAATGAAGAGAAGAATCAGGTCTCGGTACCAATATGGAAGTATGTGTCAAGTATTAAAGACATTGGTATCTATTACCTCAGCAACCTGACTTCTCTGAATTCATAAGAGAAAAGAGCAATGAGAAAAATAGAGGTTGGTCCTACTGTTTGTTATAGTAACACAGTAATCACAAAACTCCAACTTTGGGGAAGTATTAAATAATTGAAAGTATATTCACAATCTTGTGTTGAAAATTAGATTTACAAAGAGATTTCAGTGATGTGGAATGATGCATAGGATTTTTGAACTGGATCTACAACCATCGATAATGTAGTCTGAAGTCTGTGAAACCATGTCTCAATGTGTGAACATGCCACAAGGTTATCAGCAATAACATTACAAATTAATTCAGTTCACCTTTCCTGTGTTTTATATGTTTTGTTAATATTACATCCTATATTTTATTCAGAAAAGTAATATTTAAGAAGTCACAAAAGTGTTAAACAGTGCCAATAATTAGATCATTCCCATTGTGCTGCTACTATGCACGTGAAGCCCTGACTGAGTGGTCAGCTCTATTCTTTTCACCATATTTAAAGAAATTAATAGCCTAAATTTTAAACTTACTCTCCTCCAAGGTTCTCTGGACTTTGTAGACAATGATAAATGGCTACCTGGTTTGATAAAGAGAAGCTAAGATGTAAGAAAGAACTCTCCTAGGCCCACCATCAGCTGTGTGTTCAAACTTGGCCCTGTGACTTAACATCTCTTTAAGCCTGAGTGTCTTCGTTTGTAAAATATGATAAACAACAGTACCTACCTCAAGAAGGTGTTGTGGGGACTCGAGGACGTGTGTATGAGGTGTTCAATACACAGTCTGGCACAACTCAACACTCAAAAATGTTAACTGCTATATCATTCAAGATCCAACCCATCAGCCACAAACAAAACCCCACCACCCCAAACCCCAATCCAAAGCTTTGCTTACACTAAAAAAGGTATGGAAAGCAAAGCCCAACGTCCATGAAAGTCAGCCAGAATTCAGAAGATGAACCCAGACTCAGGACATAGATTGTACCCAATTAGGAGCATGCTTCCCAAGCAAAAGGAGCGAAAATGTGGTGCTCAGGTGTGCCAGGACAGGTGGCAACACACAGTAGAAGACAAAGAGCTAGGACAGAGTCCCCAGGAGAGGAACCAATGGGAGCCTGGCCCAGAAGAGAACTTTCCCTGGCACCAGAAGCCCAGAAGAGTATTTCAAGGAGATGAAAGAAGGCACAAGTGATGGAAAGTCTGAGAGAGCTCAGTGTGTCCAAGGGAGGAGCACTGCCATGTGAAATCCCAGGCCAATTTCTCAAAAGGGAGCCAATCCAGAATCCCCAAGAACCTTCCATTTACTTACATTTCAGTGCAGCAACCACTCGGGCCGCCATTACTTCAGCCCAACGGAAAGTCCAATAATCAATGCTAAAATGCCCAGCAACACCATTACTACCACAATGATAATTATCAATTTCTGGAGAGGATAAGAGAAACAAACAAATCATTATTACAAAAAACAACAATTCATCCAAAACCCAACCCCCTCACCTCTACATTGAAAGCCTCTTATCAAACCAAGTAAGACTATAGATCTACATAAAGACATTCTATTAGGATATTTTATATATCTTAAGTGACTTCCTGGCTAGCAAGGCCAGCAGATGGAAATATGGAGCTTCTGTGGGCTCTCGATTCACACTAAGTCTTGCACATGTGGACAGATAAAAAAGCAACCACCATGGAGTCTCCAGGAGGCAACAAGCCAAGGTATCAAGAGACCAGTTTTTCCTTTTCAAGAAGAAGTGTATGTTTTCAAATAGTCCTCAAACTTGTCTTTCTTTCCCCTAAAGCATACACCCATCCATCAGACCCAGTCCAGTGATTGGGGATCAGAAAGCAGGATGGCAGTCCTATTGTGAGCCAGCCTGGATTCATCAGGTGAAATAATTTCCCAACTCCTTGAATCCCTGCACAAGCAATAGGTAAAGTTGGAAGAAAATCAAAGAACTGAAGAACAAAATTATCAGAGCCCAGGAGAATAGTCAGAAAAGAACAGTCTAAAAAGTACAAGCCACCAGACCTGGCTACCAAAATGGGCAGAGAAGCTGAGAAGTTCTCAAGCAACAGGGACACCGGAAGAGGGGAAAATATGCTGGTGTGGGGGAAAGAGCATGATTGCAATCTGAATTTAAATCCCAATCCTATACTTACTAGGTGCCATGAAGCCAATTACTTAACCTCTGACCCTCAACAGTTTCATCTATAAGTAGGAACAACAGGTGCTCCTTAAGATAGGAGGTAATGTTGCAAGGAGATCAGCACAGCCCTGGGTTCACAGTAGAGAAAAGGGGGGTGGGCTTCGTTAATGGAGTGGAAGAGAGTGAACAGGTTTCTAAAGAACAGAGGAGTCAAGTGTAACATCTGAAAGGATCATGAGCTCCGTCCAGGAGAAGTCTAGCAGCAACACTGGGCAATGCATCCACCCTGCAGAACTGTCTTCAACTGTGGGTTCTTGGGTAGAGAGCATGTGAGCCAGATCCATGCAAGGCACACCAAGGGAGGAAGGGCAGCTACTCTCTGGGAAAGGCTGACGTAAGTGTTGGGATGAGGCCAAGACAGAGGGAAAGCATGGGCTCAAGGGCACAGGTGGGGAGGACCAGAGAGAGGAGAAGCAAGCCAGACCAGTGGAGACTAAGGCGCTCACCCTCCGAGCTTCACTCTGAAACTTGACAGCCTTTTTGGTATCTGCCACGGCCCGCTCCACAAAGCCCTCTGACTGGTCCATGTTGTTCTCGATACGGTCAATCATGGCTCCCTTTCCCCGGATGCAAGAGGAGGTGGCAGCAGAAACAGAGACAGGCAGAGGGAAGAGAGAAAGAGCGAGAGACGGCAAGCAGAATGGACTCTCTTCTCTGAAGGCAGCCACAGAGTCTCACCTTCCGGGCCTGACCCTGGTACTTCATGGCTCTTTTTGTTTCTTCCCGTGCCTTCTCCACATGGTCCACTGTGTGCATGACATTCAGCTCTATGTTATCTAGCATCTCACCCTGCAAAGAACAGACATGAGTCACACCCCATAAACCCACGCCAGAGAGTTGGAGCTCACATGGGGACGGGGCTCTCGGTTATAATCCCCACTGCAAAGAGGAGCATCCAGAAGTCTTCTGTGGGGCACACGTTCCATCTTACACGGGCTTACCTACGGCTCCCCAGTCCCTGGTGGTGGTCACTCACTCAAGCAACACTCAGTAAATTACTTCTCTGGGACAGGCACTGCATGGAGCACCTGGAGCACACTGTCGAGATGCCTGGCAAATACATGTTCTAACAGATCCCACCACCACCATTCTGTTTTTAATTAAGCATATGAGGAGAGGAACCAAAATAAGAATATCTTAGGGCATAATAACTGGGATGCTGGCCTCTTCCTAGTTATGCAGACCTGAACCAAGTTCATTTGGCCTGAGGCAAGTTTGTCGCCTAGTTCTTCAGAACAGTCCTGGCCAACAGGAGCCGCTCCGTAAACATCTAAGGTTGGGAACATCTGCTTTCTCCAGGAGAAACTCCCAGGCCCCTAAGGTGACAGACATTGGGTTTACCTAAGCTGTCTGGTTACATCTTATATCTCTGTAGTTATTAAGAGACAGTGATCTCTTGGCAAGATTCCCAAACATCTCCCAGTGATAACTTTCTAATGGGGAAGTTTGGTTGCTCCAGTTAATTCTGGGCATCTTAGGATGGGAACGCCCCTCACCTACCTCGACCTGCCTCAACCCAACCCGTTGCTTTACAGCACTCTATAAGCAGAGAAAGGCACTTACCATCACTTGACTCTCAAACCAAGTCCTCAGCAAGGCCGCGAGGAGAGAAGAAAGAAGAGCAGGGAAGGAGGCACTTAAGGAATGGTCTCAAAGGCCAGAAGGGAGCAGAGGAAAGGCACCTGGGCCCTGAGCAGGGGACGGCTGTCGGAAACCAGCCAAGCAGTGCTTGGGCTTCAGGCAGGTTTTGCGGCCCTTCCACAAAGGAAGCTGTTCTCAGTCCCTTCCAGGGGGGCAGAACAGCTGGAAGTTCATGGTAACGGCGGCACACCTGGACCCTGTGGCGTCTCTGACTTCGTCATAAGAACCAGCAACCACCTGACCATGTGGAGCCAACACCCTCTGCAGGTGACAGAGACTTACAACCCAGAGCAAGCACGCCCAGGGACAAAATAAGCCGTCAAACCATGAGTGTTCCGAGTGTTCCTACAAATATTATTCTACCTTTCCTTCCTTCATTTTGTTATCTGTTCTTGTTCCTTAGCAAAAGGTGCCAAAATTTTTGGAAAAACATACAGAAGAAAAAACAAAAATGGGAAAAAAATTAAAACCTCCGCGAAAGCTAACTTTTCATCGTGAATTGGGGAAATGATCCTGTTTTCAGTGTCACCCGTGAAATTGTTCCTATCGGGAGACTGCTTTAAGGCATCCTCATTAAGAACCCACATCCCCACTTAGAAGGGCAACAAGAGGTGCTGAGGCAGAAGGAGGTAGTACTTGACTGAGCACATCAAACCCCACAGTAAGCAGAAGTGAGGCCAAAGCAGCAGGCAAGAGGCCAAGGGTGAGTGGGCACTCGGGAGGACATTCCTTTCCTGGGACACTGGGATCCCCGATGATTCCCCCACCGCACCTCACCGACCTTCCAGTCCGCCCTTCTCAGGAGGACCTGAGCTTTCCTCCCTCTCCCCAGGGTGGTGCCCAGTGCTGGTTACCTGATTCTCCACCAGCATGGCAATGTCCACAAACATGTCATGAAGCTCCTTGATGCTGCTCTCCAGCCTCACAATGTCCTTGTGCCGCCCCTCGATCTCACTGAGGGCTTGCTTGGAAATCTGAGAGTCAATGATCTGCAACAGGCCACCCAAAAACCAAACATCAGCCAGCACCCCTGCCACAGCCCCAACTCGCACTCCGGCCAAGCCCCCTGCCTCCCTGCACCTGCAGACCTTCCCTCACCAACCACACAGAGCTCCACGGCAGTCTCCCCTCTCCACGAGAGGGGCGTGCATCCCAGCTCCCAGACACTCACCCCAGAAGTGAAGATGGCGGGGTTCCCACTCTCCAGCATCTCCTCCAGCTCCTCATCTGTGGTCTTTTTGCCGGCTTTGTAACAAAAGAAGTAGAGCATCAAATACAAGACCAAACAAAGCACACCAATTCAAAAGTTCCCTGAAAAGGGCGCCTGGGTGGTTCAGTCAGTTAAGCAGCAGCTATTGACTCGGGTCATGATCCCGGGGTCCTGGGATCCAGCCCCACATCAGGCTTCCTGTTCAGGGAGGAGTCTGCTTCTCCCTCTCCCAGCTTGTGCTCACTCGTGCTCTCTGGTGCTATCTCTGTCTCTCTCAATTAAATAAAATCTTTAAAAAAACAAGAAAAGTTCCCTTAAAACCAGGAACACGGTAACGTGGCACCAGGTGCACCGGTGCCCTAAGGCCTCTCCTGAGTTTGGGCGCAAATGCGGGCAGAAGCCACAAGCAGGGGTGCTGCTTCTCACTCTCCCAGTTCTCCCGACTTGGGACAGACAGTCCCGTGGCAGGGAAAGGCGAAGGGGCGCGCACCAACTTCAAACACGTACTGATTTCGAGCTGCCGCTGGATTCGCCCTTTACTGCGTTCACGGAAGTCCACCTGAGCCTCGTTGTATTTGGTCATCACCTCCACAAACTTCCGGGACAGGACGGAGTGCTGTGGGAACCATGCCAAGTGCAGTGAGCCCCCAGGGGCTGATGGCCAGGGACCCCACACCGTTACAGAGCCCACACCCCCGGCCCCATACGGCCCAGTCTGCGGCAGCACTGGACTTGAAAGCAAAAGACCAGGTGTAAGACTCAACTTTCTGCTTTCCTAAATTCACACCATCAGGAGAGTCTGCTGACCTCTCCAAGGCATGTGTTCAGCATCTGTTTACCTGCCCTGCTGACCTCACATGATAATCCTGAGACCAAAGGAGAGCCCTGCATCCACACGACTAGTTGTGTTTTTCTGGCACAACCCTTGGCTTGCTTTCTAAAGCTGCCAGACTCCCTTCCAAATCCAACACCTGCCAGAATCCTTGAGTTCTTACCCAACCTGACCTTCCTAACTTCCCTTGCTTATAACTCAATGCATCCGCTCAAGAGCCCCCTGTGTCTGTGTTCCAATCTTCACCATTATTTTTATTCCTTGCCCACCTCTCCACATCAAGGCCTACTGGCTTCTCCTTTGCAAAATCACCAGTATTTGTACCCTTTCCAAACCCACTAGCAGCACGCACATTCAAACCAAAGTCATTGCAAAAACCCAACAAGAGACCCCCACCTGCCTCTCGCCGGTCCCCCACTCTGGTCCAGCTTTCAGGAGGCCCCCAGACTATCCCCTAACAGACTGCAAGCTGAAGTAAATGCACACAGGCCACCTGATCCTATCCAGGTTTCCCAGATAGGTATTCAAAGATCTCTGGAGTACAGCACTACATTCTCGATCAAAATTCAATGGCCACTAGCCCACAGCCAGCTTTTCTCTCCAGACAGGCTGTTCTCTCCATGCCAGCCCCTCACCCCTGCCCCACCCCCATCAGTACCACTGCTGCTACTAACACACCCCGCTCCTATCCCCAGGCCTCTTAGGGGAACCTCTCGACCCCTGAGCCTGTCCAAGTTGCCACGCTTGCCCATCCAAGGCCCAGCCCCCTCTGACCACCCCCAATTCTTCCCGAGCTCTGTGAATGCGGAGAGCACCATGCACTTCATTGAGTCTTCCTACACTGCTCTCCTGTTAGGTCCCATGTGATAGCGTCCTTCTGCCACTTGAACATGACTGCCAGTTCTTTGAGGACACGGATCGTATCTCGGATGACCACCAGAGAGCCTAACTCCAACTGGACAACTAATGACCACAGTTTTCAGAGAGACCTCTGTCTTCCCCTGAGTAAAACAGGAGGCACACGAACTCTGAAGCTGTGCCCTAGAGGAACCTTGGGAAGTTCTTCATGGGCCTCCTTAGAGAAGCAGAGGGTGACAGAGGGGCCAAAAGGGCTGGACTCTGGCCCCTCTCCGGCTTCGGCCTGGGCAGCTCTCCTTTACCAGTTCTTCCAAATGAGTCCAAATAAGAATCGTACTTTACAAAAGAAAAAAAAAAAAAAAAAAGACTCCACAGCTAAGAACAACAACAACAACAAAAAATTAAGACTGGATGACATGACCAGGGAAATCTTACCTGGGATTTCCGAATCCGAAGGTCGGCCGATGACCGGACCTCATCTTCCTCGATGTGCCTCTCCATACCTACAGAGCAGAGCGAGGTTATTCCAGCCACACATCACTGCTCTCCTCCAAGAAGCACACGGCTCAGTGCCAGGCCCGCCACACACCCTCCTGCACCCAGCCCACGGAGAGATACAACAGGCTTCTACAGTCTCGACACATCAGCTCACGAGTGAGCCACGGGCCTCACGTTCCACGCCCTTTACTGTACCAGGTCCTGTCTGCGACTGAGCACAGCGGCTAACAGCAAGAGTCTCCATCACCAGGAGGCTCGGGCTCAAATCCCTGCACTACCACTCACTAGCTGTGTGACTTTGGGAAGGCCACGTCACGTTGGTGCTCCTGTTCCCTCATGTGCTGAATGGAGCGAGGACAGCATCTCCCTCACCACGTGAGCAGGGAATGAGACCGCACACCGTGCCCCACACGCTCTCACAGCTACTCCCGGAAGCTGCCCTGAACCACCTCCACCTCTGCCCATGACAACAGGTATTGTGATTCATTTTGGGGGAAGAAATGATGAATGCCGCCTCCACCCTCTGATCAACAGTCTGCATTGCCAAACCAACTGGGCAAAAATGCAGTTGGAACAAAGAGACCTTTTGGGCCCCAGGGGAACTCAGTCTATGACCTCGCCTCACTGAACAAAGGTCTAAACTGAAGGGGTGGAGACCTGGCCCCCCAAGAACTATCTGCAGACTGAATAATAATATGTCCTGCACCTAGATAGCTCCAGCATTAGTGTTCACATGGACGTAGGGCTGGGAAACGGGACCAGTAAGAGAAAAGTCAAGGGACCAAGTTAAAGCACCGAGTCACACGACTCGGCAGCCGGCAGCACACTTTGGTTCTGCGCTCCTTCAGTTGCAGTCCTGCTTCCAGGACAGGCAAGATTTCAGGGGCAGTGCCCAAACTACAAGCAAAGATGGGACGAGCGTATCATCTGGATGAGTTTCAGTCCAGAAGAGCTGGGCCCCGCAGACGTGGGCGCCGCGGATGGGAGGCGGCTGGTGGTGGGGCTGGCTTGTTGCCGTTGCTCCCTTCTTACTCTTCAGTTTGTTCCGGACGTTGTTGGCCCTTTTCTTGATCTCGGTCATGAGCTGCTCTAGGTCATCCTTGGTTTCTGGGTAAACAAAGGCAAGCAGAATCAGCTAGAGAAACTAATTGCTCTGTGAGCCTCACCAAGCAAGAGGTGGGAGCTTTCTCAGGTACCCACCACCCACAGCAGTATTTATCCTGAGGTACTCCCCAGACATCTGTCCTTAGAATCACAGACAGCTTATTTAATAAGCACTTTTCTAGGCACCCCGGTCCCAGACCTACAGAATAAAAACACCCACAGTTGGAGCCCTACAATCTGTCTTTTTAACAAGCTTTCCCAATGTTTATTGCAGCAATGTCCACAAAAGCCAAAAAAGGGAAAGAGCCCAGATGTCCATCCACAGATGAATGGATAAAGAAGATGTGGTATATATATACAATGGAATACTACTCAGCCATCATAAAGGATGAAATCTTGCCATTTGCAACAACATGGATGGATCTAGAGGGTATTATGCTAAGCAAAGTAAGTCGGAGAAAGACAAATACCATATGATTTTACTCGTATGTGGAATTTAAGAAACAAAACATGAACATAGGGGAAGGGAAGGAAAAATAAGATAAAAACAGAGAAAGAGGCAAACCATAAGAGACTCAACTCTAGGGAACAAACTGAGGGTTGCTGGAGGGGAGGTAAGGAGAGCACTTGATGTAATGAGCACTGGGTGTCATATGCAACTGAAGAATCACTAAACTCTACCCTGAACCTAAAAATACGCTATATGTTAACTAACTTTAAGTTGAATTAAAAAAAAAAAAGCTTTCCCAAGTAATCCTCTGGCACACAAAATTATGAGAACCTTGCTTTTAGAGAAAATCATCTGGTTTACCATGATGGCTTCAGCTCAAAGGTAGGAGAGAATTTCATGGGATTTCTGAGAAAAGGGATGCCAACAAAGGCTCATCAACCTAAATTCAGGCAAATATTTATGACATACCTACTATGTGCACAATGCTATTCTAGGATGTATGGAGCAAAGGAAGTACTGGCCATGACTATTCATTCAGAAACCATCCTTCAGGACCTGCTACAAGCTTGGACCTGAGCTAGACACTAAGCCATCAGAGAGAAGATAGAGATCCTGCCTTCAGGGGCTCAGGGTCTACTGGGGGACAAGGAATGAATAAATCAGTTGTTCTAAGGTGCAGTGTGGAGTAAGGTGTGAGTTCTGGTCAAAGGTGTGCACAGGATGGTGATGAAGAGCCCCTAGCGCAGCCTGGAGGGATCTGGAAATGCTTCTAAAGACAGATGATAGTAAGACTGTGTCTTGACGAAGGAGGAAGTGTTAACCAGGCAGAAAAGGAGATGAAGAGCGGAGTCTCTGCGAGGAGGGACGATATGTAAAAGACATGAGGAGACAAGAACCATTTGGGGAACAGCCAAAGTTCAGTCTGGCTAAAGTGCGGGTGACATGGGGGAAGGGTGGCAGGAGGAAAGGGTGTGGAGAAGGACAAGCATGTGACCAAGACCATCCCCATGTGCTCCGCTGAAACATTCCAGCTTTAACCTTCTGGTGCTAGGGAGCCGCTGAACAGTTCAGAGCAAAATGATAGCACCTGGCTCGTTTCTTGTCCTTAAGGAACCTAAAATACAGCCCGAAACCCCACTCTAAAAATGTGAAAGTTTGCTGAGGTGCCGGTAACAAATGCAAGTCTCAGGATAGGAAAGAGTGAAGTGAATGTGACCCATTCTGGAACACCTCATGGAAAAAAGATGGCCTTGATATAGCAGGATTTGGATGGGGGTGGGGGAAAAGCTTCTCAGGTGGGGAAATAGCACACGCAAAGGTACAGCTGAGGGTCGGAGATGAGGGACGTGAGAAGCAGTCAGCATCACTGCAGTCATGAGAGGGGCTGGATGGCAAGGAGAGGAGAGTGTGGCCACATGGACTCCGCGGGGCCATGAAGACAAGAGCCGGATGCGCTGGGCGCGTGAGCTCAGGCAGGGAAAGGGGAATGGAGAGGATCCGACGTGTACACAGTGTGGTGTGGTGCACACACCCCGTGCTGCTCACAAGAGGGAGGAAAACTGGCTCAGCCCCAATGCCAAGGGCCAATGCTGGGTGCCTCAGGTCTAAGTGAACACTCACTTGGCTCTGGAATCGGTGCAGACAGGATGATACTGTAGAGTTTCTTAGCCTCTTCCACGTGCTCGGAGATCTTGTCAATGTTTTGCCGAGTTTCCTCAATCTAGAATCACAAAGACAAGAGCCTTTGTTGGGAGAGGAAGAACATTCCCACAACTGAGATACAAGCTTAGCAGAGCTCCCTGCTGAAAGCTGCCCACCTTCTGGGTTTGTGGGACAACAGGAGGACTGAAAAGTCTTCTGCTGCTGGGTGAGTGCCCTTTGCATGGCCAGATAAACTAGCATCCAGAGCAGTCACCAAAAACCCACACGCCCTGCTCCCTGAGAAGAACCATCCACCCATCTGGGATGGGAGGCTGTGGACCAGAGTCAAGAAGAGCGAGGAAAACCCAAGAAGACGAGTCAGATGATAGGGCCAATAAACCCTATCAGGCAGACCAGTCAGCCACACACGGAACGAGAACAGCAGAGGGGGAGGATGGGAGAGAGAGAAAAGGGAAGTCGGAAAGAAAAGCAGTGAAGGGGTGAGAACGAACATAGAGAGTAAAAACAAAGAAGAGAGAGAGAGAGAGAGACTGATAAGCATGGCCCCCCCAGGAGACACCAGAGTTTCCCTTGGACATGTGTTCTGCTGGATTCCCGCAGATGATCAGCCTCCAGACACTCCAGCCACAGACCATTTCTGCACCTGACTAAGGTTCCTGATTATGCAAGGTGTGCATCATAAAATATTCCCAGCAGCACTTCATTCCCAGATAGAATAGCATCACAAGACACTGCTGCGCAAGCACTCCTCTGCTGATAGGGGAGCCCGACAGAGACCTCAATGCCCACCAGGTCTAGCTGTCGCACTTCCAGAAGGACGAGCTTGTCAATGCTGTGGCAATTAACAGACAAATCTTGTAAAATACCATCAAGCAGCATCTTTCCATCAGGGATACGATAAAATACAACTCAGTATGCAGTGTCCAGCATACCTTTCTTCCAGCAAATAATTCACTTGATTTTGAAAACCCAGTCAGAGCTCTCCAGATTAAACAGAAAACAGGAAAAATAAAACTTGACTTCTCTAACCCTTGAATGAGCACTTCTGCCAGTGGAACCATGAACTTTGCCCCTCTACAAATATGCTGGTTGTGATGAACCACAGTTTGAGAGTAGACTCAAGTGAGTAGACTCACTTGCTTCAAGATGTAGAATAAAATTTCAATGTAATCGTATCATCAGAGTATAAATCCAAATACAAGTCGCTACCCACACATTTGTGAAGCATTTTCACAGCTGGCAAAACAATCCGTGGTGACGCATGAGGACCGTTATTCACCTGAGGAACTTAAAGGTTGAAGAGGTCACAGGTCACGTAGTGGGACGACACTCAAATAGGGATGGTTGCATGTTGGAGCACTCCAGAATCCAACTGGGATGCTTTTTGCATTATTTCTAAGACTTGATCTTGTGGCTTCTCCATACTGTTTAACTTCTAGCAGAATCCCAGACCTACCCAATGCTAACAAGGGCCTGTGTTACCACCTGTGAATGCTGGCAGGCTCTAGAAGTGTGACCACCTCAGAATCAGGCCCTTGGGTGAACCCAGAAATTGCCACTTTGCCCTTCCCTTGTCTCTCACATCAAACACTGGCTCCTCTTACAACTCATATAATGTCATTGCATCACACCATGTCCCATTTCCATCATGCGACTGTCTTGCCAAAGTAATTCCACTATATCAAATAGGACTGAGAAAAAAAGGCTCTCTAGGATAAAACGCACAAACCACTTCAAAAAGGGTTTCACATAATAGAATCAGAGAAATAAGTGACACCATGAAGCGTTCCAATGTCAGAATTATTGGGATCCCGGAGGGGGTAGAGAGAGAGAGAGGACTAGAAGATATACTTGAGCAAATCGTAGCTGAGAACTTCCCTAATCTGGGGAATGAAACAAATATTCATGTCCTAGAGGCAGAGAGGACCCCTCCCAAGATCAAGGAAAACAGGCCAACACCCCAGCATGTAACAGTAAAACTCGCAAATCTTAGAGCCAAGGAAACCATCTTAAGGCAGTTAGGGGGAAGAGATTCCTTACTACAAAGGGAGGAACATCAGAATAACGTCAGACCTATCCACAGAGACCTGGCAAGCCAGAAAGGTCTGGCAAGACATATTCAGGGTACTAAACGAGAAGAACATGCAGCCAAGAATACTTTATCCGGCAAGGCTGTCATTTAGAATGAATGGAGAGATGCAGAGCTTCCAACACTGGCAGAAACTGAAAGAATATGTGACCACTAAGCCGGCCCTGCAAGAAATATTAAGGGGGGGTTCTATAAAAGGAGAAAGACACCAAGAGTGATATACAACAGAAATTTAGAGAGACAATCTATAAAAACAAGGTCTTCACAGGCAACATGATGACAATAAATTCATATCTTTCAATAATCACTCTCAACGTGAACAGCCTAAATGCTCCCATAAAATGGCACAGGGTTGCAGATTAGGTAAAAAGACAGGACCCATCCATATGCTATCTACAAGAGACTCATTTTGAACCTAAAGATACATCCAGACTGAAAGTGAAGGGATGGAGATCCATCTTCCATGCCAGCAGACCTCAAAAGAAAGCTGGGGTAACAATTCTTATATCACACAAATTAGATTTTAAACTAAAGACTGTAGTTAGAGACACAGAAGGACACTATATCATTCTTAAAGGGTCTATCCAACAAGACCTAATAATTGTAAATATCTATGCCCCCAACATGGGAGCAGCCATCTACATAAGCCAACTGTCAACCAAAATAAAGTCACATTGATAACAATACGTTAATTGTAGGAGACCTCAATACTACACTCTCAGCAAGAGACAGATCATCTAAGCAGACAATCAACAAAGAAACAAGAGCGTTGAATGACACACTGGACCAGATGGACCTCATAGATATATACAGAACATTCCACCCTAAAACAACAGAATAGTCATTCCTCTCGAGCGCACATGGAACTTTCTCCAGAATAGACCACATACTGGGTCACAAATCAGGTCTCAACCGATACCAAAAGACTGAGATTATTCCCTGCATATTC